TTGTATTTAAGTTTATATATTAAAGTTTTGCATCATTGAAGCTTAGTCATGTAATATAAAAGAGCATAGAAAACAACCATGTTTTAACAATGTAAAGAAACGCATATTTAACTTGAATGTTTCAAAATAAAGTTCACTGAAATAAATTAACATTCGAACGGGAAGTTAGAGGTCGAAATGGAGTTAAAAACAATAAAAATCAACAATAGTTTTCCCCGCTGCTATATGAGTTTTTTTGAAGTTGGCGCTACCGTTTTTACGTGAAAAGTTCGATTTTACGAACAACAAACAACTCGTAAAATGGTACGTTAAGAGGTGAATGTACAAACAAATCTTGTAATAACGTCACAAAATACATTTCATTCGTGTTTTCTAGGCTGCGCTTAAGTCTATGAAATTTAAAACAAACACTAAAATCAATGAAACTAATATGGAAGTTATATTGAAAGACTTTGTGTTTAAACTGTAAAGGCAATATTTGAAAAAGCATTTCACATTTATTAGGCTTTCAGGTAGTTACATTCTAAAACAACGTTTTTTTCTATCTTCTGTACACAAAAAGCATTGATTTTTTGATACGAAATTAACACTTTTTGTGCAACGCGTATCCCCGATGTCAAAATAAATCTTCGGCGCTTCATGGCTCCCACAAACGCTTTCGTTTAATTACGGGGCGTCTCGCTAAGCGATTCGCGTAGTCTTGTATTTCATTATCCGGCGCGCTGATGGTCTGAACAGAGGCTGTCGGAAAGCAGCCTTGTCTTGCGCCATTACCGCTAATAGACCAGAACAGCGGGGGTTGGCGAGCGGGACCGCAGGCCCTTGGCCGCGGCAGGCGGCGCGGCGCGGCGCGGCGCGGCGGTGGTCGAGGCGGCCCGCGGGCCAGACGCAGCCGCCAGACACGGGCCAAGCGGACGTCATGGGCGCTGCAGCCACGCCCGGCTGCAGGTCCAGAGAATGGAATACGAAGAAAACGGAGGGGTGGCTATTGTACCAGTGATGAGATGTGAGAGAAAATATTTGTTAGGTTAGTGAGAAGAAAGAAAACGAGTCCATCACAGTTCAGGGAAACACAAGGAGCACGGCCTTGGGGGCGAAGGCAAAGAAGTGAACAGTTGCACACAAACAATACTGAAAGAAAAGAAGACAAGTCATCAAGTGAGAATACAATCTCACAATGGCAGTATAAACAAATGGAGGCGATACGTGCGCGGAATAGAAGATATACAGGCGGAAAATAAGATATACAGACGTTTACAAAACTTATTTGTTGAAAAAAATTCGAAGTCCAACTCATAAAACATAGCATTTTAGCTTGAAACGAGAGTCAGTCATAAGAACACCAGTCATGAATTAAAAGCATCACTACTACAGATATTAGATAACATTTGAAAAGCATCCAAATAGAAAATTCGAGCAACTGTGGGCAAGCGAGCCCATCTGGTCAATGTGGTTTCTTTTTTTTGTTTTGCACAATGCAAGCCAAGCGGCGTAACGAAAACGACGTTATCGATAACTCATATCGCGAAGGAATGCTTTTTCCACTTCGTCCGACGGCGGTCATACGGGAAGCGGCGCCTGCTGTACACGCCCTTCAGCGCACAAGAACGCCGCGATCTTCCGAAGAGGCATTTATCTCCAATTGAATCGCATTTCGACCGTACCACCCTCCGCAGCAAAATCATTGTATTTTAATGAAACGGGAGTTGGTCTTTTACGTTACACAAAACCCATTCACCGCATTTCGTAAAATCTCTTTTCAGACAGGAGTCTATTTTGCAGTTTGTATTAATTAGCTTCGGAGCATAAAAAACCATATCATTCGCAAAAAAAAAGCTGGGTTAAAACTATTATTTTCATTACATATTCAGTCACCTCCCTAAATGTTAAAAAAAAACCCTAATTTTAATGACATAAATTAGAAAATTAATAAATCAAATAAATACACCTATTAAATATACCAATTTTTCTGTACAAGTTCAAAATTTCTAAATTATTTTTTTGTAATTTGTGAAAATCTCAAAAGCTATGAATACAGTATTTGAACACTGTCAAAATGATTCATCCACCCACTTAGTGATTCCTAACTTTTTCATTCTTCACCCCTCCGGAGTTCTTAGAAATTATCCTTCGACTGGAAAATTTTTCGCTGACCGAGAAGAAAATAATGGATATCATTGTTTCAGTTTCTTCTGTCCACTGAATTTCAGACGTTTGCCTTCTTTATCTTTAATTATATTTATTGATACTGCTAGGTATACGACGTGGTATAAGGAAAGAATGTTCCTCAACACGCGTCCTTCAAAACTTGTGTTGTAGATGAGAAAAAGAATCGCCTCAAGAAGGCCCAATGAGTAACGGGACAAGGTTTGGCAATGTAGAACGTGAATTTTCGTCCTGCAATCGCGTTATCTGGAAGCGCACCCCGCGTCTCCCACCGCACTCTTTTCTGTCCATTCCCTGGAATCTTCCTGAAAGACTAATCCAGCACGTCCATGAACAGAATCCCTTTCGCCGCACAAAGCACAAAAAATCCACTAGACCTTCCTTGTAGAGTATTTAACGCGAGCCTAAAGATTATTACACCCGAAGTCTGGTGAACATGCTAAAGCATAACCAATGCTGTCAGTAGATCGTGTCTATGTTGCCAATTTGTTTGTAAGAAATTTTTCATGCCATCAAAAATTGCATACCAACACTACATGCATCTGGGAAGGTTTATACTCGTGAAAATTTTAATTACTATCAATATCGTATGTTATCACCAGAAAAAAGACGTGTTTTATATCCAGAATTTACGATTTATTTTTGGTTGATCAAAAACACAAACCTCGAGGGAAAATAAATAATCCATACCATTTTCTAAACTAGCTTTAATTTGTATTCGGCAGTGTTGTGCTTCTTAATCTTATTGCCTCGATACTCCATCTCTATATTACATGCATAATTACCGGATCGAGGAATAATCGTTCAACATATTAAAACAGTTCAAATTGTGCTACAGTCTCTCTGGAGAATTATGAAAGCAAACTTAAGAAGGGGAAAATAGAAAATACAAACCGAGTCAGGTAAAGAACTAGTTAATAATAAAATAAACCTTAAAATAGGTAAAAAATAAAATCAGGTACCACGGTTACGCTTTTCGGCGCCCGAGATATTAAAATCCTTACAACACTCTTGCGGCATAAATTAACTATTTATTTACTTTCAGAAAGTACCAAGTCAGTCATAGTTAATGATATAGTTTCGTAAAAAAATAATATATTTCTATTCCTTTTACTTTCTCCTTTTTTTCCATTCCCACATCACGTGGTTTATTTTTAAATCGAATTCCTCGCACTGAGTGAGAAACTATATGAAGGACTCCAACGATGCTTTCAATATATTCGATTGCCAGTTAAATTCAATTGACAAAACGCACATTACAAGAGGCGCACTGAGTGCGACTAATCATAATTAAGAACTGTACGCGCCAGTTAAGGAATAGCAGGAATAACATTTCAAACTGAACATTTTTCGTCAATGTTCATTTCTTTTTCCATTTTTTCCTGAGTTTCTGTTATCTAAAGAAAACAACAATCTCTTCATAATAGGCCCGAGACTGCATATTTTCTTTCATATCTCCGCGACTTAGAAATTTTGCAATATAGATAAAATATTGTATATTTGAAAAAATCCGAAAAAAAAGAATAAATACGTTCACCAAAAACCGTAAGCTGTGGCAGATCAGAAGGCCTGATTTCCGTTCTGTTACCTTTTTTAGGCAAAATTACTTTTAAATATTTATTATATTATAATTATGCAATTTAAAAAATAATATTGTATTAGTACTATACTACAAAAACTAATATACATTTAATAAAAAAATTATTACTTAAAAAAAAAGCTATGAACCCACGCCCCTCATAAGATCGTTGGATCCGCCCGTCCAGTAAAAAACACATAGAGTTATAATCTTTATTTAGTAGCCTCTAGACGACTCCGAAGAGTCGGAGCGTGCAGAGTGCTAATACTGCACGAGAAAGAGCTTGATACTCTGCAAAGGTCCCCTTCTGCACTTCTAACCGGTCTTTGGGTCCGCTCAAATTAAATATTTTCGTATTCCGCATAATAAAGAAGTAGAACTGTTACACAGTGATGTATGGGGACAATCGTATCCCCTTCCTTCCTCTCTCTTAATGCTTCCCTAAATTTATCGGAGAGAAGAGAAGTTAATCCTACGTTTCCACAGTTTAAAGCAACTGCAACAACACACTGTGAAAGTGTTAAGAGCACGGCAATAAGACAGTTCAAAACATTATTTGGAAAGAAATTTAAACACAATTGGCAAGGAAAAGTCATTAATGAACTTAATGTGGACAGGAGAAGCTGTTTCGTAAAAAACTTCGCTGAATTTATGTCAACAATGTGAATGGCAATAGTTGCTAACTTCAGTCCATCAAAAGTAATTCAAACGGAATTGGCTCGGACTGCCGTATCGACTACCAAGACAGTGAGAGAAGATGAAATCCCACCCAGACATCGAAACAAGATAATCCATGGAATGAAAACATAGGTAACCAGCCACTGTCTAAAATAAAGTGGCAGAGGAAACAGGAAGTATCAAGGCACGATTTGAAAGAATGGAAAATAAAACATTCATTGTGAACTAATTTTCCATTCCGACATGCGCTATTTCAAAATGTGAGTTCCCCTACCTGTCTCTCACAAGTTAAATGCCGGAAAAGAGTATTTTTTCGCTCATCTTTTCAACTCTTTCCCATCTTTAATCCGTACTTTTCATTTATTGAAATGAGAATAAGGAAATAGCAAAATAACTTATTAAAATAATTAAAAAAGTCAGCAACGTGGTGCTGAAGAAGAAACGTAAAACTATCATCTTTTAAAGCTACATCTTAAATGCCAAACGTCTAAGTCCGTTCTGGCCGACCAAAAGCGATGCAACTTCCTTGTAGTCAACCGTCACAATAGCGCAAAGAGTATGTGTGTTCTTAAACAACCTAAGTCCCCAACGGAGTTTGAACGTGGTCGGTGCAAAGTTGGCCAGCGCGACACGGCTTCTGAGACGAGCAGAACAGGCTGAGCTCCGCCCATTGCTCTCGCAGTCGTTCAGCCGCAGCAATTCTCGCTAAATGCAATAAGACCATTAAGACCCGCTCCAACCCGCGGCGCGCTAGCAATTTCATGCCCTTGTGTGCGGAAGCGCGACGGAGCGCCGGACGGAGCGAGCGACGAGGCGGACCGGCGCTGGCGACGGAGCGAGGCGAGCGAGCGAGCGAGCCGGCGGCGAGCGGCGCTGAGCGAGGCCGGCGCGACTGAGCGGAAGGCGCGGCGCAGGACGCGCGGAGGCGAGGCCGGACGGAGCGGCAGCGGAGCGGCGAGGCAACGCTGGGCACAGTCGCGCCGAGAAGTTGCTCACAGGCTTAAACCGCCCATTTTTCCAAAAAGATTCGAATCTCAATATACTGCAAGTTAATTGGGAAATCTTTAAAACTAATATTGTATAAAAGAACGGTAGGTCATGCTCCAATTCGATGAAATTAAATAATTTAGAGAATTACCCATCAATTTTGTATTGTGTGTATGTTTAGGCAGAAGAAAGAATGAATCCATGATGAGCTTGGCAAATAGTTCACCAAAGTATATAATTGCCAACAAAAACGTTAATATCTTAGAATATATAAATTTATGATTCAATACCTCTAAACTGTATTAGTGTTTTGGCTCTGATTGTCGCATTTTGGAATAAACAAATCCTCGTCAACATTTTAATATTACGTTGGCATTGATTTTTGTGATGGCATACAGTAAGTACTTGTAACTCTTCTGTTACTATTCCGATTTATTAATTGAGAGTCTAATATTGCCATCTCAAACACAGCCGAATATTTCCTTTGGAACTGCTTAAACTGTGAACAGCGGAGAATTTTGAAAATTGAACGAAGTAGGCGAGTTAAATATGCACTAAGAATCTCGGAATTGAGAATTAAGATTGTATTCTAGTAATTCTTAGTTCTCGATTTACAATTGTGCGTGCGTTTTTCACTTATGTTCTATATGGTTTCGAATCCACGTGTATCAACAAATTAAATGGCACGTGTAAATATGTTATTGCCGGAATATGACATTTTGCTGAATCATATTTAGAATCAAGTTATAATTTTTGTGAATATACAGTAATAACGTCTTATTTCTATATTCTTTAGCTGGGTAAGATTGGATATAGGTAACAATTATTATTTAATATTGCGTAAAAATTGTAGTTTATTTTCAATGGAACCCAGTTATGGAAATTTGTAAAAAAAATCAATTCGTTAGTAACAAGTTATCTTTTTAGAGGTGTATTGTTTGTTACGTGAAGTGAACAGTGGAGTGAGGTTCAAATTTGAAGTAAAGTCATACGAAAGAAATTTTCAGTTTCCCTGTAAGGTTCTGTAGGAAAGTCTCTACTTTTTGATCAACATTTAAGACACGTAAACCAAATACTTACATGACAGTCTAAGACTCTGTAATTTAAGCTTTCTGGCAAATCTTATTTATTCAATTAAACTAACCTGAGAATGTAGTATGTTCATGAAGCATGTTGAAGCTGCATCGCTTAATAGTGTAAGTGAGTAAGATTTCGGAGTAAGATAGTTGTTTTTCCGTTCATCTTCTTTCTTCCTACTTCTAAATATAAAGTTTTCTTAATTTTTCTGCTCCAATGAGGATGAGGTAGGCCTATTAAGCACGTCAACTTACTATCTCAAAAATAGAAACTTGTGAGAGAGAAAATGTTTTAAAAAGCGGTTAGTATTTGGGAAGAATTGGTATTCCGTGTGAAGAAATCATATTTTTATCTCGGCGGCCTAATTCCGTCTGGGCCTTTTGTTGTTTTTTGTGTGTGTTGTTTGTGTTTTGTTTTGTATCAGACGTTCCCATTAGAGCTATTTTATATATTTTCGTTGATTTTTATCATGTTCAACAAAACTATTTTAATCAATGCACAGACCAAGGAAATTGTCAAAGTGCGAAATACAGGACTGTAAGATCATGTAATACTTGAATAAACTGAACTTTTGAATGAAGATTATCAGAATGTCTAGTGGAATAATTATGGCCGATCTCTCGCTCACTCATTTAACTTGCATTAATGGAGAAATTGTTATATAGACGCCAATATTTCACCCACCTGAAAACCAATACTATCATATTTGATTATATAGCATTTATTTCTTTCATAATTTTTGTACGAAAGGTTATAGATTTTGGCTTGCATAAAACGTTAAATATGCTTTACATTATTATCAATAATTATAGCATATTATATAATTATCAATTATAGTTGTACGGGTAAAAGATTATTTTTCGTATTTGTTAAACTTTGGAATCTTACATAGTAGAATCCTAATTCATTTAATCTTGGGAGAACGCTGTTCGAGCAACGCAAATTTTGTTAGCCGAGACCCAAGACTAGGTTCGAAGCGCCTGGGCCAAGGTAAATCCGACGTGATGAACATGCGGAAGGCGGAGACTGCGCATTGGACATCATTAAACGCTCCATCCCCTCCCGATCCCCTCTGCTCCTCCATGCTAGCCGCGCAGGCGCTTGCTTGCTTTTCTAATGGTACCTTCGGGAAAATGACAGACATTCTTGTTCGGCTACATCAGCGCGTCTTCTCGTGCGAGAAAAAATTCGCCCAGTCTCGAATCTGCTAACAGATGCGGTAATCTTTTAGGGAAACGATGTTATGTACCAAGCGAAGGCCTGCCCGAACGACACGCTCCTGCTCTTTCTGAGTCTCGAGAAATAACCACGTAACATGCGTGTGTTCAATGCTGTTGAGCGTCCGTCAACATACTTCTACGATGATTCTCTTGAATCATTCGTTGTTCATTCCTTCAATCGTATTACTCTATACATAGTTTTGTCTATTTAAAATATCTTCCCGAAATATTAATTATATTTAAAATGAAGAAATAATCGCACCCTAAAAAATCTAATCGCACTGATTTAAACAGTTGGTCTCGCGTGAAAGAAAAAAGTTTACACGTCAAATAAGTACTCATCAATTAATTGCTAATTAAAGATTCACGATAACATTATTTATTGTGACAAATTTTGAGACAATATTGACTTTTTTGTCATTAATAAAAACGCGCTGTTTAGGTGCTTTATTTCGCAAGTTATTTTGAGAAAAAGTCGTCAATTTTTAAACGTGTATTTCACAAGTAAAAAAATAATTGATCAATATTTGTGAGATTTTTGGACTCGTTTTCACAGAGAGTCATTCTCTTGTTGAATGATTTGCAAGAATGTTTCGGGCTTAAAGGTTATAGCTTGTGAAAAGATAATAAATCGATAATTTTATTATGTGCGATTGGAATAAAATAAATGCATTGTTCTACTTTCGCAAGTGACTACATTTGGTTATGGAACTTTTTAGTGTCCAGGGTGAAGTCACTAATTTAACCCACTATTACAGCATTAAAATAAAATACTTTTATATTTGTCTTGCATTTTGAAATGCTGTATTTTGTACCTTCAGTACCTCTTTATGCGTAATGTAATGGCAGAATCATTTATATTGGGTTTCTTTATTTGTTTTGGTTATTTTTTAATGTCATTTGCGTGAGATTGGTGCTTTCCCAGATCTGGATTACGCCGGTAGAGAAACACTCGGTGAAGGGATTTTCACTAAATTTCCCATCGTTGATATTCCGCCTCTCCAATCCAATTTTGGTTTTAAGTAAACAAAGGGATGAAAACTCGGCAACGTTTGCTAATATGAATTGTGGGAGAAAGTGTGAAATGGTTGGATGTTGTCGAACATATGAAATTATGCCTTCAATATATCCAAAAACGCTATTTTTGATGCAATTAATATTTTTTGGCTGAAACTTCAACGGAAAGTCTTCTTTAAGGGAATTAGTTACAACCAATTTCACACATAGTTCTTGTAATGCTTCAGTAAGTAGCTCATTATTTTAAGAAATACGGGACTACGCAAATCCTGGTCTAGCTCAGGCATTAAATTTCCATTTTTCAATATTTTATTACATAGTGTTTGATTTCATGCTGAGAAACTGTTCCTTATGGTAATTATGATTTCTCTAAATGACAATTTCCAAATTGCACGTCTCATTTTTTTTTACAATTTACAGTAATATGGCTTTGCTACGAAAGAGTGGTTACACACGTTAGTAAAGAGAAAATCAATCACTTTTTCTGTGTTAGATTTGTATCTATTGAGGTAGATAGTCGATTTTCTGAAAACTGTCAATCTTGGTTAAGTTTGAGGCTTCGTAAAGCAAGCGCACGTACGTACACTTCTCGTTTCCAAAGACCGTTTGCTCGCGCCCATCCTGCAAACATAACGCGTCTTATCGCTGAAAATTGGCGTGGAGCGTGGCGGCGAGCGCGTCGCGGCTGGCAGGCGCCCTTCTTCGCCGCGTCGCCGTTTGCGTGATCACGGCCGTGCGGCGCCGCTGCCTTATCGCGGCGCAGAGGCGAGGCCGCGCGCGCGACCGCATATCTCGCTGCGTTGACGGATCGCCGGGCCCGCAAGACGCGGCCCGCCCCCGCGCTCCGTCACTGCCCCGCGGCCCGCGCCGGCGTCCGTCACGCACCGCGACGCGCGCGTGCGCGCAGCGGCCGCCTCCTTATGCGCCGCCGAGCCATCCTGCGATCGCTATTCGTGTGAGTTGCATTGTCGCGTAAACGCTGCTGTGGTGGACGACCATGAAACCCCGAAGGGGAATGTCCAGTTTTGCTTAACTCGGCTGCTCAAATCGGTCTCAAGCCACTGAATGCTACTGTGCTAGCAGTATTCCTTTACAGAGAAACCGTTGCGACGAGAAATAATCGTAGGCGTTTTACTTTCTTCCGAATCGAAGAGCCAAATCTCAAAAGTCGTGGATAAGCTAAAGGAATCGACTTAAAAAAAGTTGAAAGTATTTAAGAATCTAAATCTTATGGATGTACTAAAATTTTCTTATAATTATTTACTGTAACATTAATAGACGAGATTGAAAATTTCATTTTCCCCAGAGATTACAGTGGATATTGGCAGTATTTTTGTAGTGCACTCGCCTTTTTAATGAAATGTACTCGA